CCTGCTGATGGAAAATGACGTATTGGCTACTCAATTTTTAATCTGGCAGGTGGTTGCCCCCAAAGAAATCTTGGCTATAGAGTACAAAAAGGCCCCAGAGGAGGAGGCGCGTCCACCTTCACCACCTCCACCTGAACCAGTGAAAGTTGAACCAGTGAAAGTGGAAGCGCCTGAAGCTGAACAGCCTGATTTGCTGGTAGTTCACCATAACCCTTCTTGAGTTATTCTCTCTTGAATATTGGCATATGTAGACCCTCTGAAGTTTAATTAAGTATGCTTCCTTTGTTGCTAGGGTTTGAATGATCCTGTTCCAAATACCAAAGAGTTAGATGACAAGAATGCACTGGCCTTAGCAATTGTTCCAGTTTGTAAGTCTCTCTTTCAAAAATGATCTATAGGTCATAATTGTCATCAGAATGTTGAGGTTTAAACTTACGATAGAGTCAGTTTGTTTTTTCTATGAAACATGCACAAAACTCGTTATCTTCTTCTTTGGTTAAGAAGAAAACACACTAAATAAATTTGATGTTCAAAAATGCTATATTGTGGTTCTTGCAGCTGACCAACCAACTTCCATGGCTCCAACTCTAGCAAATGGAGCTACAGGTTGGGAATTGGCACTTGTTACAGCACCGAGCTCAAATGAGAGTGCTGTGGCTTCTAGCAAACTGGTACGCTTCTTCTACCAATTTCCCTTATGTTAATGTTTACATGTATGACAATTATTTAGTCAGTACACTTCCTTTCTCTTTCCTTTTTCTCCCTTAATGACGCCATTCAAATGTTGAGTGAAGGCGGGAGGGTTAGACTTGCTTACACTAGACAGCCTATATGACGATGCAATCAGACGAAGCAATCAGAATGTGAGCCACAACCCATGGGAGCCTGCTCCAATGACTGGTGCCATGATGCAACAACCAGTTCATGACCCCTTTTATGCATCCAACAGAATGGCTGCACCGCATTCTGTGCAGATGGCAGCAATGGCAAACCAGCAGCAGGCCTTCATGTTGCAGCAACAGCAACAGCAGATGATGATGATGGGCCAACAACAGCAGATGTCTTCGAATCCTTCGGAACTCCTCATGGAGCCCCCACCCACCCCTATGGCCCCGGCGTCCCTGTCCAAGCATACAACCCATATACAGGCCTTTTATAAACGAACCATCCAAGCAACAGATTTTTATCAAGAATTACAGCCGGAGAAAGAAAGGGACATGAACAAATAGTCAGTTTTAGATGTTGAGGCAGCCGAACTGCGGAGGGAGAGACGTTTACCATGTGTTTTGTATGTGCAGCAGTTGTTAGCTAGGATTAAGATTCTTTGCTAAATAAACAGTCGGAGGAGTTTGAGCTACTTGGCGATTCGCGTTGAAGATCGAAAATAATGTTATTCAGATGGACTGCAGTAAATTCTTTTGACATGCTCTGCTGTTGTTGACAAACTCAAGCAGGAGATGCTTGTGTTTCTGTTTTTCCTGTTCTTGCCTCCCTCTGTAAAGTGATAGAAATGAATTATTTGTAAAATTTGTGATTGTTGATAAATATGTAACAAGGATTTACATGAAATTTGATTTGTGGGTATAATTTGGCTATTTTTATTAATTATTATTCATTTGGACAACATTTTTATTCCTCCTTGTTTACTATTATGCTAAAATGGCTTTTATTATGGTATAATTACTTGTCTGGATTGTTTAGTTCACTAAACCGACTTTAAAATGTGTTGTAAGTTGTAACTCAGCTTTAGTGAAAGTTTCACGAAAATACTGATATATAATGAATTTTGAGACCGATTAAAAACTGCGGGTTGTTATTCGTAGTTCTTGTAAAAAAATGTGATTTTTAGTTTAAACAAGACCATGTAACTACATGGGAAGGAAAATGTTTTGGGAGTTTAACGAAACACTTCCAGTATTGTTCACTTTTAACGAAAAATCACATTTTTACCTTTCCTTGGTACTATTCACTACATCTTTATTTGTCATTTTTTCATTAAAATTAAAGTTTTTTTTGAACTTTTCGTTAGTTTTCCTAAATATTTTACGTCATCTGAAAGCAATTTTATTTATTAAGTCACAAATTTTACCCTGGTCTTATTATTAATCATGTATTTTACACAATTTGGAAGCCGTTTTATTATGTGGATTAGGACATCTTCAAAATGCCCTTCATAAAAAATGTTCGTAAATTTTCTTAAGTGCATTGTGTAGCAGAAGTATCACCAAGATTTTTTGTTTACTTTCATTTATTATCAATAAATTTGTTGAAGAAGGACGGTTGGAGAAATTCTGAGTGTAACAGTTCTTATCCCTTGGGCGGAGGATAGGTGCTTTGCATGCGGCGATCATTGTCAAAGAGTTAATCTTACCTGATTTTTTCTTCATTTAAAATAAAATAGTATCATTCGAGCAAAGAAGAATACTATCGGATTACTAATAACTAAAGTTGCTATCACCATCCTCACTCCTTAGTAGTTAACTTAAAATCTTAAAAATATCTTCGTCACCGTCTTCACTACAGAATCACCCAACAAAAAGTTAAATGCAAAACACTAATCAACCAGTAAACCACCTCTAATCACACGCTCAAGAGTTAGAACTTAGAAGAGAAAAAAGAAGCAAAGTTAAGAGAATATATGAAATTACAAATTCAAAAAATAAAAATAAAAATAAAAAAACGAAAGAGGAGAGAGCTTCTTCTTCACGCCCTTCAATCCCATCATCATCATCATCATCATCATGATGTTGCTGTTGATTTTCTCCCAACAAATCCCCAAAAAAACAAGTTGAATTCCACCAAACAATGTCTTGGCTCTTCAGCTCTCCCCGCCAACCCGACGACGACCCGCGTGATGTAGAACAACCCAACCAACCGCAAAACGACCTGTCGTTTCTCCGCCAAACCCTCGGCCGCCAAATCCGCGGTGTCGCCACCTTCCTCGCTCCACCTCCATCACCGCCATCACCGCCATCAAACAACGACGTTCCCTCGTCCAATTCTCTGTCGCAGTCGCAGGCGCTTTTGGGAATCCGGAATGATCTGGTGGAGATCGGCGGGAGCTTCAAGACTGGCCTCTCCCTGCTCTCTACGAACAGCAACAAAGCCGTAACCGAGATCTCCAAGTTCGCATCGAGCTTGCTGCAGCTTCAGAACGAAGCTTTAGAAGAAGGCGGAGACGCTGATGACGACGGCGATGTTGGTGGCGGTCAAGTGCCGGGGATCACGGACGAAGTTCTCGCTTTCGTCGCCGAGATTTCGGTGATGGCGGACTGCTGGATCGACTTTCCTATGACGCTGAATCATGGTAAAGTTGCTAACTTCCACTTCAATTTGAATGCAATGGCTTGTTTTGCCTGTTTTCTTTGCGTCTGCTGTATTACATTTCCTATGAAGTTGTGGATTGTGAATTGGAAGCCGAGGAAGCTTTGGATTTTGTTTCGAAGAAATCGAAATCTACTCAGAAAGCTGTTTATGCAATCGCTGTGATTTTCGCGCGGTTGGATTTTCGTGTTCTAATTTTGTAATGGTTGATCCTGAAATTGGTATCGAAGACCTCTGAATCTGTTCGTGTTTGGAATACAAAGATTTACATTATAATTTGAAACAAACTGACGTGACGTTCGTGCTGGCAATTTTATGCTGATTGAATTTGAGCTTGTTCTGTTAGCAGATTTCAGCATGTCGGATGCTCAGAAAGAGCATGCGTCTGTTGTTGAACAATTGGTTCCGGGATTTGCAGATTTAAGAGTCCAGCTTTGCAGTTCCATGAGTGAGGAGCAGTTTTGGATGATCTATTTCTTGTTGCTGCTTCCAAGACTAAATGAACATGATTTTGAGCTTCTATCAACCCCCAAGGCAAGAAGTTTATCTTTCCCGTCTTTTGTCATGGTTCATATCCGTATTTACATGCCCGATAAATGCCTATGTTCAATTTTCTTTTGAGGACACTTTGGAGATTGACTTTTAACCAGAATTCAGAGCGCTCGCGTCTTCATAAATTTCATTTTATTATATTGGAGATATTTATTACAAGGTTCTATGATAACCATTCTAACTGCAGCTTGCACAAGTTAGAGCTCGAGAAATGGGCATGACGTGCATAACCTGTCACCAGCTGCACTTGTACAACTTCGTTGGATGTTGTAGTTTCTCCAACCGTCTCTCCTTTGCTTGCTCCTTATATTTGTTATAAGTTTTAAGTAACTTAGTAACCAATTTTATAGTATCCTAGAACTTTGGACGTGTTCAATTCCACGTTGCAGCTTCGGAGAGTACTTGGGGCAAACCCATTATTTTGAAAATAGAACTCCTTTCGTTGCAGATTGTTGAAGCAAGAGACGTACTTCTGCACAAACTTCAAAACAAGAGGAACACACAGGAGGATGCCCCAGAGAAGTCAATTCTCGTTTCACCTAAAATGCACATCCAGGATGGGAAGACACGAGGGGAGGAAGTCTCATCTCAAGAGAAGGAAGCCTTGACTGAGATAGTTAACATGGCAGAAAGGTTAAAGACCGATGACGAAGAGGGCACTGAGCAGTGGTCTGAAGGGGCAAGTATTAGTTCTGGCACTTTAGTGGATGGCCAAAGAAAACATGAACCTGAAGACGATATCTCATTCAGCGATTTAGAGGACGAAGAGAATGACCTTTCTAGCAGACAGTCAGGACTAAGGCAAGGACGGATGCCAGGGCATGTTCACCTAGTGGATCAAATGACTGGGTTCAGCTGAACCGAGGCTCGGAAACTGAGGGTGGCCAGAAAAAGGCTGGTCGGTCAAAAGGGAAAGATTCAGAAGGTGAGGATTCAAGTGACTGGTTTGCGGTAGATGAATATGATTAGACAAATTTGGCAGCAGCTTGCTTGCCAACTTATTGTAAAGTTTTCGTTTCTTCTTTTCGGTTTTTCGGGTTGGGTGGGATGCATTGTGTACTTATATATGGGGTATCAGCATCTTATACAAGGCTTCCTTGTTGAAATTAATAATGCAAATGAAGTTTATTTCAAAATTTGCCTTTTATTAGTTTAAAAACACTTGAGTTTTCTGAGTAACAAAGAGGGTGGCTGTTTTCGGATCCTTAAATCCTGCCGAGCCGATGCCGAAAATCAGATTTCTGGACCAGGCCATAGAGCCAGAAATGCTGCTACCATCACCACATGGTGCCACTATAATTTTAGCTTTCTTCCCCCTCCATAACACTTTATGTTGTTGACATGGTAAGGTGGGATCGCGACGTTAGACATGTCAAAATGCAAGTTCGGGTTACGAGAACGCTGCACAATCTGAAGTTTACATTAGACATCTACAGCAGCAATTTGATGCAGTGAAGGGAAGATTCGAGGCCAAATGAGACACCGATTTAAATCCCGAGCCTTCGTTGAATGGTCAGTAACTGTAAGCCCAATCTGCAACGAAAGACAAGGAGGAAATAGAAGATAAATACAGCGTGACATGTTAGTTCGTTGAAAGCAAAACCAAGTAACAAGAGAGTTTTGGGACTACCTCGGACAACTGCTAAGGTCTTGACATGGGGAAGTTGTTTCTCTAACCAAGCGTAAGTCGGAACCACATTAATTTCCAGCATCATAACATACACTTCCTCCAGATTGGGGACCATTTCGAAGGAGAACTCGATTTCATTGCCCTTGTAATGAAAACTGGTAAGGCTGGTGGCATTGAGCTCAATCCCCTTTAACCCTTCGCAGTGGATCACAACCAGCGCCTTCAAAGATTAAAGAGAAACACCAATGCACAATCTTTCTAATCCAAAACACCATTGCAATGTTCAATGTTCAAGGTTCAAACAAGAAAACATGTGCGGCTCAACATGTCCAGCAAGATTTACATCACGCAAGGAAGGACGCCATAATTTGGATTCTTCGTCATTCAAAAGGATCTGAGCAGGAAAATAGTCGAAGCCACTCCAACCAGTGCACTTAGGTGGGTTGTCACAAGTAAAGGCAAGGTCAAGATCTTCCACACCCTTTCCGATGGCAAAATCGATCCAGTCATTGACTTGAAGAACGTACGTACATGGAAAGAAACAGAGAACCTTGAAGGAGACAACCTTCGAACCCGTATGACATGCTAAGAATCTTTCTAACGTTGCTAGAAAATAATCCACATTTCTCCTGAAAATTGTTCCATCGGGCATGACTTGGAGTGGCAGGTAAACTACGTCGCGCCAATCAAATTCAAGATTCGATGTGTATGCATACATGTTCCTCCACCTACGTGACAATACGCTCGTTCTTACAGCCTCCCTCGTACTCAACAACGAGATTATGGTATGAAGAACATCATCTGGCAAATTACTGATTCGATCCTTGCCAATGGTTTCACACTACATGAATATAGATCAAATATCAAAGTAATACTCAAAATACTCCTAAAATCGCATAATGTTGTTTAACTATCTGAGAATTATCTTAATTTGTTTCGATGAGAATTTTTATTTTTTTAAAACCAAATGACAATAAGAGCGAGAGGCGCAAAATTATTTAAACAACTGAGGCAAAGCTTCATTTTTCAAGGTGGGACAACACCCAACACTCTCAACGTTGGAAAAAGTCACAAGGTCGAATATCTGACAACTGATAAATGAAAAAAGAGTTACGAGTCCATTTGGTATCCTTCTCGGATCCTCTTTTTTTTTTTTTTTTTTTTGTTTTCAAAGCCAACAAGTACTAAGTAATTTAGTTACATTTATTATTTTTTAAAACCCAAACGAGTCTCGAATTGAATACCAAACAAAGTTTCTGAAAATTTATTTAATTCAAACATAAATAAATCATTATATATTTTTTAAAATTAATAAATAAAAGAAAGTACCTTTGTTGGAGGAGAGTGCCCTTGTTCTTCATTGCCAGATGATATCAGGCGCTTTCTCTTCATCTCCAAGAGCTTAGGTTTTCTCATGGAAGGCCAGAAACGCCGCAAAGCCCAAATCTTCATCGGAAAAGTCGAAAAAAAAAACCTGCGAACAAACAAATGACCTGTGAATTTGCAATTGTCCGATCCCAACGATGCTAGACTGATCCCAAAGTGTAATTATAATTACCAAGGATGCTTTTTTTGTTTTTGCCACGTGTCAAGGTGGAAAATGACCGTTTTACTCGTGGGAGCGGAAGGAAAACGATTTTCACATATTCATTTTCTTCAGTTACATACATTTTCTTCTTTTTGTGAGAGATATGGGACTAATGCGCAAAAAGAAACTCCAAAATGGCACAACGCCTAGAAATGTCTAATAAATTGTCATCGAGAGAGGCTTAATACAATCAGGAGGTTCACAAAATACATTGTATAGGTGACTACTAGTCTACTACTAGCTAGTTACATTTACTTTGTTGCATGTAAATTTTTCTCTTAGTTGTAGTGTTCTTTTGGTGAAAAAAAAAAACACGTCCACAATTCACATTTTGCGCTTCGTTAGATAAAAAAGCACCAAAATATTTGCCCCATTTCTTGTGAAGTAGTCATTCACCACATACTCGCTAAATACAGTTTGATATATTGCATATATTTTAATGTGACGGAGATTTTGATTTCGGGTTCGTCATACGAAGTTCTCGGTTTTGTCACTGAGATTTCGGTGTGTGAAAAATAAAACAAAATTAGCTTAATGTGACAGAGAGTAGTGGCGGATTTTCTTCCATAGGTGTTCAACTAGAGATACCTTCTTCCGCTGACTCGTATCCTTCCATAGGTGTTCCAGCTGGTGGATTTTCTGGATTAATGTATGGTGGTATACCTAACATGGACAAGATGAGGCTTTTCACATCACAAGGAGGATCAGGGGCAGGGGCACATTCATATTTTGGTTCTGTTGATTAGATTATTTAGCTATTTTTCCTAGCGAATATGTATGAAACTTATAGAAAAATAGCTAAATAATCTAATCAACAGAACCAAATGTGCCCATGATCCTCCTTGTGTTCTGAAAAGCATCATCATGTCCACATCAGGTATACCACTAGATAACAATCCAGAAAATCCACCAACCGGAACACTTGTGGAAAGATTTGAATAACCGGAAGAAGGTATCTCTGGACGATATCCTGGCACATGAAACGGTGACCGCTGCATAGGCATCTGATACATAGGATATGAAGAATGAGGTGGCTGACTCGGGCCCGAATGCTGTGCTGCCTGGGGGCTGTGCGGGTGAGTCTCTGGCTGCTACATAGCTTGCATAAACATCATCATCATCTGTTACGCCGTCTGTGTTTGCTGAAGTTGGGCCCGTAACACATCCAACTCTTGAGTATACGAGACCATCTAAGGTGTCACCCCATGTCCAAAACCTCGAACTCTATTCCTAATCGTAGGACTCATCTCCTCGACATAGACTTGAGTACGAAGTTCAGGAGTGTCTCCAGCCTCAACCCTAGATTGGACGACACTCTCTGCATAGATGCCTTACAATATAATATTAAAAAAAATAATGAAAGATTATATAGTAGCGATAAGACAAAGATAAATAAATTGAATGAAAAATAAATAACAATGGAAGATTAGTAGTCATAAGATAAATGAAGATACAAATACATACAAAATCAAATACCAATTTTTGTTGAGCAGTTTCATCAATCCATGTATTATCTTTCCGAGTATGGTCATGCGAAAGAAAACAACAGGATCTGGTTCTTCTTCATGCTCCTTCCTCTTAAATTATAAGTCAACGGAAAAAAAAAATTTGATCATAATACATATATTAAATAAATTTTAAATTAATCAATTAAAATGAACTACACACATATTAATTCTTCCTGAACTCTGGCGAATGTCTTTGATCCTGTTGTGTGGTTCATAGTTTTGCTACTAAGATCGGCCTTATTTTTTTTTCAGCCTTCTCCTGAAAAGTAAGGAAAAAATGTTGTACAACTCAACAAATAGAAAGCATCTACAAATAAACTAAATCTCACCGCTTTCGGGATGCTCAAGTTGCTCCTCGAATTGTTTATCCATGAGTTCATCATTAATCTCTATTAATTAATGAAACCATCTTTATTAATCAAAAGAGGGTGAAAAGACTACTTAGTCTTCTATCACATAAAAAAAATGATGGGCAATAATGTAATTTCATAGGTCCAAATTTTACTGTTTTTTATTGAAGCCTCACCTACTGGTGATGTTAAAATACATCCAATGTTAAAAAAAAAACCAAAACCAAAAACCTCTCACTCCCCCACGTTCTCTCTCTCCTTATTTTCTAAAAAAATATGTTCATACACACAAAATGGGTAGGCAAATGCTAGTACTCATCTAAAATAAGTAAAAAAAAACATTGCTTTTGGTTGAAAAAAAATCAAACATATATTGTAAAAAATCCAGGATAAAGTAAGTTTTGAATGGAGTCACTAGTTTATTATACAAAAATTAAAAAAAAAAAAATCTGAGACAAACTTTCAAGAATATAATTAATCACGAAAGTTTCTTTTATTAGGAATTAGCATATGGGCACACACGAAGTGTGTGTGAAAATTTTTTATTTTTGTTTTTGAACTAAAAGGAAAGTGGAAGAGAGTGATAAAAATGTGAGGGTGGGAATTTTTTTTAAGGGTAGTGCTATTCACACCCCATTTTACCTTTCACACACCCTTGTTAAATTTTTGTCCATTGATCTTCTTCAATTCATTCGATCCGATGGCCAGAAATTGAGAAGGGTGTGTGAGAGGTAAAAATAGGTGTGTAGATAGCACCACCATTTTTTAATTAGAGATATGTTAGAATTACATATGGGTGAGGATTTGAAAAGAAACTGCAAAATTTGGTTATGTGAAATTACATTTCTGCCCATATTTTTTATTCACGTTCTGTTTTAATTAAAGAGTTAAATTAGTAATTTCATAGTGTTTTATTAATTAGTAGAGATAATCACAAACATCGAGAGAGAAAAAAAATTAATATTTCTCACCACAATATAAAAATTAAGAAAAAAAATTGGAAGAAAATAATGGTAGAAATATAAGTTGGAAAGAGTAAAAAGGAAGAAATAATGAAGAATAAAATACCTGGAAGGCAGTGGAAAAGCAAAAGTAGAATTGCAGCCGCACCAGTCTCTCTCGCTCTCGAGTCCTACTCGATTTAGAGTTCTCTGGAAAACATGGAATTACAAAATGAAGAGCAGCGGCGTAGGGAGAGTGAAGGAGAAGGAGATGCACGAGGGTTTTGAATTAGGGTATTTTTATATTCCTGTCGGATTTTGCACACCGACAGGAACTTGGAAGGATATCCGACGGGATTGCCCGATTATCCGACAGAAACTTTAAAAGGTTTTCCGTATCCAACCGGGACAAAATAAAAAAATAAAAAATATATATCCGACAGGAATACTAAGGGGTGCAAACAAGATTACACTAATCCTCGTCGGCTACAACTGATAGGACATTTTCAATAATAAAAATACAGTCGGACATGAATAGTTTGTATCCGACAGGAATAGTTTGAAAATAATGAAAATATTTAAAGTAAAAACTATACGACAATAATACATATGGATATGGTGGAGAGCGGGAATTTTGCCGCTCCGCTATTCTTGTTAGATAATAATGAGTTAATGTCAGTTATGTTTGATATTTATTGTTTATGTCTAAGATAAGCGATAATGATGTTTTGTTATTTGACAGTGTCTAAATTACTTGTTGAAAACATCTTATCCGACAATAGTATAAAACCATCACCATTTTACCTACACATTAAGCTAATTTTGTCGTAGTGTAAGCAGCAGTAGTCGTACTCGCAGCAGTAGCCGTATTCAGTACTATATTTGTGTGTGTGTTTATATATGTACAGTACTCGTTACTTTATATTTACAGTACATGTATAACGCGTGCTCCGCGTGGGTTTGAGGGTTGTAGACTTGTAGTCAAATCTTTTGTCTCGTGATAAACTTTATTCCCTGAGAATTTAGGGTTTAGGGTAATTAGTGATAGATAACCATATATCAATGGACAATCAAATTACAACGCCTAGAGCCCTGAAAAATACAAACTTACGCTTAATTATTATATATCCAGGCACAGAAAACTAAAACCAAGTGGGGATAATATTTTGTATATATATCCTGATCCGTCAGTGCATACATATAATCAGTGGTAATATATATATATATATATATATATATATATCCTGATCTATATATATCCTGATCCGTCAGTACATGCATATAATCAGTGGTAATGTGTGTGTGTGTGTGTGTATATACTACGATTTGGAAGTGGAGATATCATCAATTATTTGGTTCTCACTCTATGACAAATGAGAGATAAAATTGGAGAGATATTAGTTAATTACAAAGGGCTTATATATGGGCATGAAACTATTTTTGTATATTCCTTTTCTATCCATGCTCACTTTATTTTTAACATTTGAAATGAATAAATTTAAAATTAATCAAGGAATATAAATATAAATCGGAAAGTGTAAAGTACAAAAATACAATGTGCGAAAAATCATAAAACACTTGGCAGTGGGATAGGAGACTGATCACATCAAGACGAGGGAAGCAAAATCACGGATACCACAAGCAACCAAAACCATACAGCTAGGTAGTTGCATCTGCATATGCTTTCCCAATTCATGGCCATTCATTTAGTCACGGACCATAATATACAAAGAGAGAGACTAAAACTATTGAGACCCATCAGGCATATATAGTTGCATGCATAACATATATCTTCTACAATTCATATAAGCCTTTGATCTATATAACTTAACTTCCATCCCCACCATGCATTTCAATTTGCATCCTCCAGCTCTTGACACTTTTCTCTCTCCATTCCTCAACCACCATTTCACATGCATGCTTGCCTGTACTGTGTTTCCTAAAATCTACAGCACCACCAGTACTCTCTCTCTCTCTCTCTCTCTCTCTCTCTCTCTCTGTACGTGTACGTATCATCCTGTTGTCCAGTTCATTTGACTGTGACCAAGCAAGAGGCTCGGTTTGGGCTTAATTGAACTTTGAGCTCCTAGTAGGCGTTTTGTTTACCACTTTGGGACGCACCAAGGTATTTGCGATCACAATCGGTTCAATCATATTTATATACGTTCACTCTTCATGCATGTGTAATCACCGTCCACATAATCAAAAAATAATCAACCATTAAGTCAAAAAATTTGCCTTAGCAATGGTAAATTAATAAATGGGATTTACTATTTGTGCTCCAGTTGATAATTAATTTAGGAAAAAAGAAAGCCACAGATATATGGGATTTCGTACGCGCACACACATGCACCGCTATATATAACAGCATGTGGTCAAAGATAATATAAACTAGGGATAATATTTTGGGGATGGTCACCAAACACATGCAATTTAAATTATAATAAACTATTTTTACGATCTATGTAGTAATATTTCTCTTCATTAGTAAATGAAGAGTTTTAGGTTTGACTCGTATGAATGGCGTGTCTAACACTATTTTATTATCATAGACCTATTGTATGGCTCAACTCAAATCTAACCCGTAATGTAAAAAATCATTGAAGCAAAGAAAACCAATCATATATATAAATGTAAGTTTATAGGTGGGATATGCAGGAATTGCATGATAGAAGAGAGAAAACGAAGCACAGAAAGGGGTTGAATAACACTAGTGAAACTGGTTTAGGAGAGAAGAAATATAGAGGGGTCAATTAATTTTTTTTTTCTTGGAAAAGAGGTCAATTAATTATTTGACACAAAAAGAAATATACATTATTGGGAAGGAAATAAGATATCAATTCACATTACTGCAACTACAAATCTTATCACATTTCATAGATATACATCTAGTCACCTCCAAATCGAATTTATGTCCAAATTGAATAAATGTATAAAGAAAGATGCTCTTTGGACATGGTAAAATGCACTTATATCACATAAACCCATTCCATCAACACGTGAAGATAAAAACAGCAGGGCCCGCCCTAAGAATTTGAGGGCCTTAGAGGAGCCTTCGAAGTAGGAACCTAAAGTTCTCAGATCTCCAATTTTTTGTACATTGATATGTATAAAAAATAATTCGCTAAATAAATAAAAAAAAAGTCTATTCTAATTTTCTACATCAAATATCATTAAAATTTAACATAAAAAGAAGATAGATATACAAACATTACTTAAATATTACATCTCACATTTTATATACAAATATACTAAATGTTTGCAGTGAGTCTAAGATTGAGAGTGAAGAACAATAAAAATTTTGATCAAGAGAATAAAGAACAATAAAATTTGATTGACGAATATAATAAATTCAACGACGCCAATTGTATCTCTTGTTTTTTTTTTTTTTTTCTAAAATCAACATCACACTAACGAATTGAATATTAAAATAAACCATTTAATAATAAATTATTGAAAAGCAAAATATAAATTCAAAGTTTGGATTACCTTAAAGTATAATTTTCAAGACCATGTGATAATTGATTTAAACATTCGATAGAAATTGAGAGATTGGGAAGTTGAAAGACAAAATGATTAAAGTACAATTTTCAAGACCATGTGATAGCTGATTTAAACATTCGATAGAAATGGAGAGATTGGAAGTTGAAAGAAAAATAGATTGCAAGGGGACTTGAGTTTTATAACTTTATTTGCTTTTGGACACATGGATTAGGAGTAAATTTGAAAAGCAAGTTCGAAGAAAAAGGAAGCCGAACATTTCCCCTGCACCAACAAATGAATTATGATTTTTCTTACTTTTTCTGTATTTATACGTTCAATGTATAGAATTTTTTGGGGCCCCTTTGAAGTGGGGGCCCTGGGCAGCCCCTACATAGACTACACTTAGTGCCCATGTTCACAAGTGGGCGAGGCCACTAACCCAATGTTAAATCCTAGCCGGAATTTGCCCCAAAAATAAGTTTTGGGTTAAAACTTATATTTGGCTCAAGGGTTGTAGCAAGTTGGGATGGGTTTAAAATATAAAATTTGATTTTTACTCCAATGATTGGAGCAGTTCTTGAAGTATGTCTTACTAAGTGTAACTTTCTTTTTTGATTCAATAAAATTTTTCTTATACCATCGAGGTTTTTTCAAAATATAAAATAAAAATAAAAATAAACAAACATTTTCATACGTTGCAACAAAAAAGACCAGCCAAGGTTTTACGCAGAACATGCATGCAAGCTACCCATATTCGATCCGAATTAGGATTCTATCTGGATTCTCTTTGTGTAGATTTAGAGGATTAATCAATCGTGTCCGTTTATCATACATCGTGCGATCAGAAATCATTTTGAATTTTTTATTTAAAATTGAACACAAATAGTACTTAACGAAAACTGACCGCACAATGTACGATGAACGGACACGATTTTGATTGATCTTCAGATCCCAACAATGAGAGTCCGGAGAGGATCCTCATCCATTGGATCCAACCCCTGGTCCCCATCAATCCCAAGATCACCAAAAGCTCATTAATTAGTTTCATGCATGCTTGCATGATCACTATCTCAGATTTTTTCACGATTGTAGTTTAACCAGGAAATTCCTTCTAAGTACATAAAATATCCAAGATTATGCATGTAAATAGGAAGGTCATCAGAAGAAGCAGATGAGATGTGCTTTTCCACAAAATCTTCGAGCTTAAGTGATTTTACAGAGAAACATCTCATGTGCCTTTTTCTAGAAGTGATTATTTGGGTTCTGAATAATCAGCCATTTCAAAGAAAACGGAATCATGATGAACTACATAGAAGCATACTTTGTTGTCAGATATGCATATTTTAGAATTTTAGGATGTTTTTGGTATTTTATCATTTGTTTAATTTGTTTCTTATTCGAACTCCTAGAAAGTTTGGAGCTAAGAGACATTATATAAACCACCTTTAGGATGCTAGGATTTATTACCTTTCATATTATCAATAAATTGTGAGGTTCTCTCATATTTTATATATTTTGGATTTCAATTTACTCATGTAATTGCAAATGGATTCATGCAAACATAAGGAATAAGTTATGCCAACTAGAGTTTTCCAAAAAAAGAAAAAAAGTTCATGCCAACTTGCAAAGTTTGGCAGATGCTTTTTGAGCTTAGCTGCTTGCCCCCATGTTCACGTGATGTGCTTTCTAGGGTTTTTTGTTTTCTTCCACTCGTCACTACAGAAAAAGCGGGGGGTTGATTCTGCGAAGGATAGGATCAGTAATGTTGGAGAGATAATATTTGTAGATAAAATTATAAATTAAATGATGTGTCACCGATAAGAAATAAGTACGTTAATCAAAACTTAAGTAATAATTCAATAATTAACTTTCAGATCATTTAATTTATAAAATTTAGTCTATATATTTAGTTTCCCTAGCATTACCCTATTTTTTAACTAAATTTGCTAAACTAAATGATGATGTGGTTGTTGTTGATTAGATTATTACTTAAGGGTTGAATAATGTGTTTATTTACTATTGATGACACGTCATTTAGTTTGTAAATTTAATTTAAAAATTTAGTGTCCTACCCCGTCACTATATTCCTATATAACCCCCTCGTTTCACTCCAAACCCTTACCACAGCAGCACTCTGCCTCTCTCTCTCTCTCTCTCTCTCTCTCTTCAAAGAGAGACAGACATGGCGGAATCCAGCAAGCTCCATGCTCTCTTCCTCATTTGCTTGCTCTTCATTTCCTCAGCCTCTCCAATCCTCGGTTGTGGCTATTGCGGCAAGCCAAAGCACAAGCCTATTAAACCTACGAAACCTCCCAAAGGCCCTATAATCGTTCCACCCATTCATGTCAAGCCACCTGGCGTCAAAGTCCCTCCAGTCACAGTCCCTCCCATCGTAAAACCACCAGTCACAATACCGCCCATTGTCAAACCACCAGTTACGAATCCACCAAGTCCAGGGACACCATGCCCTCCACCTCCAGGGAAACCTAGTCCGGCTTCCAAGGGCACATGCCCCATTGACACATTGAAACTGGGTGCTTGTGTGGATCTTCTGGGCGGGTTGGTCCACATTGGGCTGGGTGACCCGGCAGTGAACGAGTGCTGCCCGGTGCTGCAAGGGCTTGCTGAACTTGAAGCTGCAGTGTGCCTTTGCACAACTCTGAAAATCAAGCTTCTTAACCTCAACATCTTTGTCCCACTGGCTCTCCAGCTCCTTGTCACTTGTGGCAAGAGTCCTCCTCCTGGTTACACTTGCTCTCTCTAGAACAAGACATTTAGGTAAGTACTTAAGTTAATCATTAAGTCATTACTTAATTAGTGCTACGCACTTACGTACATTATATTTCAAATCCGTAGTCCTAACTTGAAACATGAACTTTTTGGGGTAGGTGGATTTTTTATTCTATTCTTGTTTACACAAAGTTATATTTTGTTTTGGGAAATGTTAGTAACAGTCTAAGAAAAGTCCTATTAAAATTTAAACATATAAAAAAATCATAAAATAATTTTTTTTGATGAAGAGTAACTTTTTTTGTTTATAATAATCATTCCTAGATCGCTATAGGCTGGGAAGTTGGAAAATGAGTATTCTTTTAGGGCTCCAAAAATCCAAGCAATTTTGTTCTATCTGAAGCAACAAAAACATCCCATACTAATATGTCATAACATATATAATTAAATAGGAATTTATTAATGAAATTTCTCTCTAGATCTATCTTTAGCTGTCGTACACACAAAAACACACTTGCACAGCAATTTTCTCTGATGAACATTGCCTGATCACAGAATTTGTCATGATTTATGGCATTGCAGGTTGCTTGATTGATGGATCCAAAGAAGGAGCTAGGGAGGAAATAATCGTCATGAGAGGATGTCGAGCCTCCCCTCCCTACGTCCATTTGTTTCACGTTCCCCCCAAACTTTTCTTCTTTTGATTATTAATGGTATTGAGCTGATGTTAATTTGGATGTGATATTGTACACACCATTTGTTTTTAATTATCAGAAGAGTGTTGCATGCATGTGTGTTTTATCTCAGGAATGCAAATGAAGCAATCAAAGATGCCTTTGTCTTAGCTTTTAATCTTATATATGTCGTACTCGATCGATCGATTCCTTTTCTTTTTCTTTTCTACATTTTCCAATTGACGTCGCATATCCTTATTATTTGAACGGGTTACAACATATTACAATATTTAGATCACGTCATTATATAAGGATTCCAAACTTAACCTACTTTATTCAGTATTCATTGCTCAACACCGGATTCACCGATAGACTAACCTTAATGACAAATTGTGTCCTTGTAATTCTAAGTTACTTATTTATTTAAGGATTAATTTGGGATTGATATCATTAATTTGACCTAAAACACAATGGATGTAAATTCAGATTCGTATTAACTCAATCATATATTGTGTTCACCAGCTAGCTGTGTCAAATATTGACAGCCATATGTATACTAGAAATTTTGACTTTACCGACAAAATGAATTTGTCGGCAAAAGTCAAAATTTGTCGGCCATTTTGTCTCGCAAAACATGGCGTGCAAGACTCTAGCCGACAAAATTCAACATTTCGTCGGCTATGACGTGGTTCTTTCCCAACAAAACATATTTCATCGGCATTCTTAAACCCCAACAAAAAATTCTGTCGGAAAAGGATTTTTAAGCCTACAAAAATGCACCGTTTTGCCAACAAGATGTGTTCGTCGGAAAAGATATTTTGTTGGCACTGCCTTACTCTACCGACAAAATTAACTTTGTCAGGAGAGAATTTTAATTTATAAAAAAAAATATAAATGCTTGAAAACACAAAATATAATTTCTAATAATGCTGCTTTGATTAGTAATATGTATATGTACAGTGGTTATACAAAGTATTATATTATACAATAATCCTATCCTACTCTCATTCCTCAGTATCGGTTTAGCAATAGCATCACAATAATATCCTGCAAAAATAATACAAATGGTAATTATTATGTATGACAACATAAGAAGGAGCATCCTTAAAACCGAAACAATCAAATTGTAGCTAGGAATCTTTATATAAGTAAAAACATTATGGAGCTGCACTGATTCACACTAGATGAAAAAGATACATTCAATTGAAGATACTTTAATGCAATCAACATCTCAGACCACCGGCCATTTGAGAGGTACTCTTTAGTCCCTTAATAAGATGCAAATCAAAATGAACGAAGAAGGTACAAAAAGTTACGCAATAATAATTAAAACATATTCAACTCTGGGATTAATTAGTAGCCCTCGAGAATACAAAGAAAATCCTCAAAATTAAAAAATTTCTCACAACTTGATCAAATTGTATTAATGACGATAGTTGTAACTTATTGGGGAATCAAAATTGCTTACACAATGCTCTTTGCTCATTTCTAGCATAGACATAATCAAACTATTCGTCCATATACTTAGAATAAACAAAAGGCAGAGAAAGCAAAATATATAATATATTCCTAGCAAGATCAAACTTACATGTACAAAGCTCCTTGCTCGATCAGTGTGTTCTGCATAATTGAGGGACAAAATATACAATATATTCTTGGCATCAGCTGAATGGGAGAGTAACACAAGTTAGCAACCCACGAGAAAACGTAACAGAGAGATAATTTATACGATATACTTGAGATCAATTCACCATCACCAGCCTCATAAGCAAGTGCAACTACATCAACTTGAAGCATACGCACCTGGAATAAAAATAACAATACTAATTTAAGACAAGACTAATTTAATATGGACTTGCATGTCACATCCCGGCCCGGGCGGGACCACTTCCCGGGCCCAACTCCACCACCGTAGCACGATATTGTCCGCTTTGGGCGCACCTGGAATAAAAATAACAATACTAATTCAAGACAAGACTAATTTAATATGGACTTGCATGTCACATCCCGGCCCGGGCGGGACGACTTCCCGGGCCCGCTCCACCACCGTAGCACGATATTGTCCGCTTTGGGCCCCGACCACACCCTCACGGTTTTGTTTTTGGGAACTCACGAGCAACTTCCCAGTGGGTCACCCATCATGGGATTGCTCAAGCCCCTTCTCGCTTAACTTCGGAGTTCCTACGGAACCCGAAGCCAGTGAGCTCCCAAAAGGCCTCGTGCTAGGTAGGGATGAGAATATACATTTAAGGATCACTCTCCTGGGCGATGTGGAATGTCACATTGCACTTGTCAAACCAAGCTATTAGCAATCTTTCGAAAGAAGAACACTGGACTTGCGCCTATTTTAGTTTAATAAAACCACATATATATATAAGCCAAACAATGGACTTGCACACCAAAACCCCCAAAATAGTACCATAATTTTGCAATGTGCAGGGAATATATCAAACAAAACTTAAACCACAGTCAAGCCCCATCTATGTAAAACAAAATAAGAACCCAAACCACAACCAAAATCTTTAAAATCGATTTACCCAACCCCAAAATCTAACAATTGAGTGAGGAATTGAGAGAATACCTAGAGATCGCACAGATGGATAAAAGGAAGAGCATTTCCTCTGCTGGGGTTCCCCTGAAAGCATATATTGACCAAAAAATAAAAAAAGAAGAAATAAACTCCAAATTACATATTAAGCGAATATAGATGGATCGAACCTTGAAAATTGAAATTTCAAACAAGAGAAAGGTTATAGACTTACAACAATCTGGGTGTCGACAACTGGGTTTGGATCTGGGTTTCTGATAGGAGAGAGAATCGTATAAAGAACCAATAGCGAAGCTGCACCAGCAACGGAGAGTAGCTGACATGGTGGTAGACGAGAATCGCTGCTAGGATGGTCAATCCAAGAAGAGCAATTGAGAAGGGAGATAGCAATGGGATCCAAATCTAGGGTGCGGCAACATTTTTATTTTTCCTTGTTTAGATTAATTTTTTTTTTCACTAGGGTGCGATAGCTGATAAGCTCTAAAAACCAGCAGTTTCATCTTTTTTTCGTTTTCCCAGTACTTGGAAAAAATTTAATTTTTAAGAGAGGAAAACATCCCGCCTTTTTTAATAAAATGTACCGATGATATTCTCGATCGACTAATAGATGTTTCTTCGGCTAAACCTACTTTTTATGACAAATTATTTGTCGGCTTAAATCTATTAGTTTGTAGCCGATAATTCGAATATTTCGTCAGGACAGGACTGCCGACAAAGTTTTGCTTTATTGGCTTAAAATTTGTCAGCAAAATGATATTTTCTAGTAAGCATGCAATCATGCATGTAAAAGCAGCTGGTTTTGGGATTCCTATGGGCTTTGAGGAATCCAGCTTTTTGCTAATCAGTGCTGTTATTGTTTCAACCTTCAACAAAAGAAAGAGTGATAGACGTCTTCAGTCAGTTCAACTTCCATGTACATACACTGTGGCGCTGTAACTTATAACGACAAGGTAGGTGGGCGAGGGTTTCTCTAACAATTTTTTCTGATACGTGTAACTTTAATGTGCACTAGATAAAATTCAGTGAGCGGACACCGCTCGTTACAGAACATGTTATGAAAGTTCACTTTGACCTTACCCTAATGGGTGAGAGAGGAGAAAGTTTTAGGTCCAAAAACCGAACCACCTATTTCGTCCGGCTCAGACTCTAAAAAATCTTTTGTGACCCACCACATTCTGATTTGAAGGCCACCACTACCTAATGTTTTGATTCCATCCTCCGTCCGCTCACATCATTCAGATTGGGAGTGCCGTACTCATGAACATCTAGTGAGACTGTGAGAGAGAGAGAGAGAGAGGGAGAGAGAGAATGCTGTAGCTTTAATTAGAGTAAAGTTAACAGTAGTACAGTACCCAGAGATGATATAAAGCATTATATTTTACTGTAACGAAGTGTCACCGATTATTCGTGGCTAGTAATTTTAACGCTCATATTTTAATAAGGTAGATCCACGTACCTTGAGCTCACCTCTGCTGACCCAAGGTGGACTTCCACAATTTCTTAGCTAGACGTTGGTTAAATAAAATTGCTGCTTCTATTGTAGAACATAACTGAGAGAGAGAGAGAGAGAGAGAGAGAGAATGCACCCATAAGAACTACAGATATTCTTTCAGTTGTGTAATTAATTGATTATATTCAAATTCTTGGTGGGGTAGTTTTTTTTTGTTTTTACAATAGCAATATTTCATTAATTAATAAAAAAAAAATTCCAATGGGTGCACAAACAAAAGTAAAGAGTAAACTCCTACAAGGCAAAAACACACAAGCACAAGCACAGCCAGTTTAACACTGCCAAAAAATGATATACGCAACATACTTATACCGGAGCACACACAATTCCGATTCCAGCAATCGATACCATGTCAAAACTATATCTGGGCAACAGACATGGTGGGGTAGTTTATTATTAATCAACAATCAAGAAAAGAAGAGGGATTTAGCATCACAACAATATCCCAGTAAATCTGGCCCTGGAAATGGGCAAGAACACAGCAGGGATTAAAGTAGAGGAGGAGAGCGAGGGGACCAGTCAAATCTGCTGCACATGGCCACTTCAACATGGTTCGCCTCTTACATATCACCATCATCATCGTGATCACAAAATATAAAAAATAAAAAAAATCAAAGAAATATCTGTAGTGTATCGTCGGGTCGTTTGTGTTGATTGGTTTCTTCTGTTGTATCAATGCAACCCAGATTTTCCCTGTTCCTAATCTACCGACATGTCATACACTTGTATATTTCCCGTAAAATCATCCGACGAAGAAATTGTTAATAGGATGTGGTTATTTAGAGGCTGTTTGATAACCACTTCATTTAAAAAAAAAAAATTCATTGTTTTGAAAGCTGAAGATAATTAACAAACAATTTTTTAATAAATAAAAAAAAACTGAAAACCAAAACCAAAAACGAAATGGTTTTTAAACGCCCCTTGGTTTTTCAGTACCAGCAAGACAACATTTTGTACCTTTGCCGGTCTATTATTCGTTTCTCTCAATTCTATAGTATCAATGCAGGACACATCGGAATGTGAATGTTTGATCAATCCACATCCACTTGTATTATTGGACTGGAGTGTACAGACGTCCGGGACACTTAGGAGTGTACAAACGTCCGGCCCAC